AAAAACTTGTTCACCCATTCTGTATACTGAATGTAGTATAATTTTATTTTAGTATTTACATGATCACTTGATAAACATTATAAATTACAACGAATGTGGTCTCGTCATATTCTTATAGGCATTATTCTGTTTGTTGTTTGTTTTATTTTATATTATCTACAAACTCGATTCTCTTTCGAGGCTAATGTAATGTTCTATGATTCTTTTCCAATAAATACGAGTATTCATCATACTGCAATTATATTGACAAAAACACCTTCAATCAAAGTTTTAAAACATTTAAATGCTTTATTGAATGTTGGTATTGATGCTTTTGTTATGTGTGATCAAGATCCATCCAACTTTAATAATTCGACAAATCGTATTTTATATATCAGTGATGAACAGCTTGCTCTCTATGGCTTAACTAGAAATCGTGTTTGGGATAGAGTATTTGTTTGGCTGTATAATCAAAGTTCGATAGATTACGTCTGGCTTATGGAAGAGGATGTTACATGGAGTAATGTACGTTATATGGTAAAATTATTCAATGTATACGCAAACAATCCAGCGGATCTTTTATCAAGAAATATCATCTATAGAAATAAACATACACTTGGGTAAGATTTTCAGTCTTTTAGAATAATAGAAAATTAGTAAATACTCAATCTAATAATTTTATTCCAATTTTTTTCTAGTTGTAAAATCCATCTGACCATAAAAATATTATAAAAGTAATAATGATAGTGAAAATTGATCACCATAATAATTATTCAGTCTAAGTATATGGTGAATTCAGAAAAGTCGATCGTCCTTCTATGTCTTTATATTTCATTTATAGTACAAGCATTGAGAATTGTAATAAAATGACAGACAATGCATAGACATTATATTTTAGAAAATCGAATATCGGTTTGAAAAAAACGAAACTACTATAAGTTGTTATTGTTTATACATTCAATCGATGGAAAACTTTACACAAAAGAAAAGCTATATTTAAAACAGAATGCCTTTTAGTGTTCCCTAGTTATCTAATTTATACAGAGCTTTGAAGAAATGTTTTGTTTCACTAAAATACCATTGATTAGTTTTTGTTTAATTGTAAAGAGAAATCATCCATTAATAGATTTTTGTGTTTTTCATAACGTATTTCTCGCGAAACAATGACCTAAATTCTATTTCATTCTTTCGTGAATGTACCAAGTTTAAAGTACCCGTATACCGGATCAGTTGTCAGCAGAGTACCTTTTCGAATACTCTGTTACAGATATGTCACAAGATCTTGCTTGGGCATCTTGCTGAGAATCGTCTCAGTAAATAGGTGCTTGTCAGTTATTTGCCAAGTTTCTATAACATTTTATGAAAACTTGTTGAACAAATGAGTAGATTGAAAATCTAGAGGCATTTTGTAGTTGAGTGCTAAAAACCTATAATGTGTTGTAAGACACTGAAGTACCTAAAGGTTTGTGTGTCATGCTAATAGCAGGGTACTTTAGACTCAGCACATGGACTAGGATTGTCATCAGTTCTGTAATCTATGTAGTTTTTGCTTTTTTTCTGTGAAAGTTTCATCATTTGTTAACTTTGCATATTGAATTCTAAATAGTAGCTAAAATAGTTCTTAAAGATATTTTTTATCTCCTCTTTTTTACATATACTAAGTATAAAACTCATCGTTTATCATAAACTCATTATCATTGTAATGAATCAATAGAATGCACCACTGAATCCTGAAGTATTGGTATCGATGTACGAAATCGAAAATGTCGAAGGTCCATAAGATGAAATCTATACTGATAAAGGTGATAATTTCATATCTTAGGAATATCAGAACTACAATTAAGATTATATACAAAGTATAAAAACTGATATTATACTTGTCGTTTGTTGTTTGTTTTACTAGTTGGATGTGGTGGCCAACAACATCATTAAAATTATTTCCTGAAAAAAAATGGTCTGGTTCACTAAATATGCTTTCACGTGTATCACGTCGACTAATAAAAGCTCATCAATATTATACTCTTCAATTATTAAATGAAACAAAACAAAACAATGCAAGCAAAATCGATAGTAATTACTATTATCAAGAATTTTTCATTCCAACTGTTGCAAATATGTTTAATTTAAAAATGCTTATCTATGATCATTCCCTAATGGAAGTTCATGTGTCGTCACTTACTGAAAATGATATTCGTACATTATTAGCTAAGGGCAAACATATATTTCATGCTGTTAAACATGATAGTCAACTATTAATCAATGCTACTCAATATTAGCACACTTTTTATATATGTATACATGTCTGTGAGATAAATATAACTTCTTTGAAAATGAAAAATAATTTTCTGATCACCGTACTCTAGAGAGTGAGAGGGCTATGAGACACAGGAAATTGAGAAAAACAATACTGTCATTTTCGAAGAAGTCGTATATCTTAATTATTAGAGGCTCATGTACTGATATGTACTGTATAAGAGCTTGTTCTATATAGAGAAACTTTTATATCAATTTGTGAAGAATTTGAGTATATTGATTATGAAAAAGTAGCCATCTGGTTTCAAAATCACGATTTTCGTAAAGATCTTCTGAGCGATAGGACCTATTGAATCAGTTGAATTTTGTACTACACAGTACTCGGTGAGATCCTTCTTTAACTTAATCCATTCCTGAGGTGACTATGCGCAAAAAATATGGAGAAACGGCAATCTTGTCATCGGAATGGTAACATCCTTTTACTCATCAATATATCACCTATTTCATCGCATTCTTGCATGAGAAGTATCTCAATCTTAGATAGATGCGTTCATTGTGGAAGTTGCAAGCAAAACAATTTATTCTAGATGACATATGCATGTAATCAAAAAAGTGGAAATCAGTTGCAAAACGATGTGACTTTCTGACAATAGAGCTCTTAGAGAAATTTAAATATTTCGAAACTGTAACAATATTTTCTCAAACGTCTTGCGTAGAAATTCATGAAACAGTTATCCTTTTAACTTATGTAAAAACTAGTCAAATCAGCGACCACCGACCGAAGAAGTTCATTTGTGGCTTACACAAAGATGATAGAATATCTATATTCATAATTAGCAGAATAAGCGAAGAAAACAGTCTTAATGAACAATTAGTAGATAAACTGCATCATATATATTAATATTTTGGAACCAATTGCAAATTGATATATATGACTAGAGTAAATTTAGTAGAGATAAAATCAATATTCACTTGAATCAATTACGATATGAGCACATGTCTTTTTTTTCTACGAAACAAACTTTGTTACAGTGCGAATACATTTCTAAAACAAGCACAAAGTTGAAATCGACTATGTAGTGTAACACATAAGAAAAACTACACCTCCATCTCTTCTTTATATGAAAAAGATCTAGAGAATACTTTTACATATATAGTGTGCTCCTGCTCTTTTAATGCATCTCAGCAATCGAAACTTAAGGTCGAAATCTCTGGAACAAAAGTATTTCTATGGATATTTTGTCTAATAATGCATGATAGGCTGATTAAAAGTTCAATTTGATGAAAAATATCCTTTTAAAAACAAGTTTGGTATCTATGGCATAGGATCAAGCAAGATCTAAGGGTCGCTAGAATCCTGATATTCGGAATCAACGCGAAAACATCGCACACAGTCAGGAAAATTCCGATGAAAAGGTGGTTGATCACTTGGAGAAGTTTTCTCGTAAGATATTTCGATGTTTCCCCAGTATTCATTCCATGATTTTAAATACAAAATGAAATCTATATAGCAAAAAATCAAACTCTGCGTCACATAACATCAGTTGGAACTTCGGCATGTCTGCGAATGCATAAATACTCTACACCTTTCTTTTCTCTGCATAACAGCCAACAAAAATGTGCATAGCGGACGATAGACAATTGTTGTTTCAATAATGCAAAGGTAGCAACGAACCATACACTCCGGACAGAAAGTATGCCTATAAGATACAATCAAAGAAACAAAAATAAAACATGCATCACTTGTTTTCACTTGGTTATATACATTCAAATCTTATGATTAATTGACGTATTGAAACAATACATATATATGTATTAAAAAAATTATTATTAATGTTATTTACATTTATTTATATATAGTAAATGTAACGGAAGTTAGCAGCCTATTCGAGTTTTTCACAAAACGATTCGCCCCATTCAGTGAGCCACACCAGAGATGCAATGAGTCAGAGGCTGCTCGACGAGCTCTATCGAATGGTACAATCAGATTTTTTCTGAAAGCTTAGTAGCCGAAATGAAAACAAGGACATTGATTTTTTTCCCATAGAAAAGATCGAAAAAAAAGTTTTTCCTCTAACAATTTGCTCCACGAACTGAGTCACTTTGAAACTTATCTCATTTGATGCAGCTTGACGAGCTCTATCGATTGGGATGAGTTTCATCTTCAGCAGAATAAAATTTTGGGAGTTTGAATCGCTAGAAGATTCTGTAGGAAGATTTGCAACCCGAATTTACTCGGCCGATTCGCTCCATGAACTGAGCCACTTTTGAAACTTATCTCATTCGATGCAGCTTGACAATCACTATCGATTGGTATATATTTCATCTTCAGAAGAATAAAATTTTGGGGGTTAGGACCACTGGAAGATTCTGCAGAAATGCTTGGGATCCGGATTTACTCTGACGATTCGCTTCATGGACTCAGTCACATCTGAATCTTAGCTAATTAGATGCAGCTTGACGAGCTCTATCGATCAGCATATGATTCGTTCAAAAAGAAATCAAATTTGGACCATTAAAGTTTCGGGAAAACTTTCAGCGCGCTTCGTATGGTGCTGCCTTCGATGATCCTTTCCAGTACTTGAGCCGCCAATGAAAAACAATTAAATCGATGCAATGTGAAAAGCTCTATCAAATGATATATGTTTCAATATAGTCATTGTATATATTTATACATAAGAACATTCATAAAATCACGATATGTACTCTTTTTTCATTGAACAATTCGATGGACTATTTGAACTATTCGTCGACCAAACCGGAATCGTTGCTGTGTCCCAAACCGTCTCGAATAATGTGTCATTATAATTTTCGTTGGTGATAATGTTGTGAATAAGGATCCTACTGACTATAATATTACTCTTATCAAAGTGACACACATACCAATCAATAGAGCTCATCAAGCTACATCGAATGAGATAAGTTCCAAAAGTGGCTCACTCCATGGAGCGAATCACCAAAGTAAATCAGGATCCAAAGCCTTCCTACAGAATCTTCCAGCGATCCAATCCCCCAAAATTTTATTCTGCTGAAGATGAAACTCATCCCAATCGATAGAGCTCGTCAAGCTGCATCAAATGAGATAAGTTTCAACAGTGACTCAGTTCGTGGAGTGAATTGTCAGAGGAAAAACTTTTTTCGATCTTTTTCTATGGGAAAAAATCAATGCCCTTGTTTTCATTTAGGCTACTAAGCTTCCAGAAAAAATCTGATTGTACCATTCGATAGAGCTCGTCGAGCAGGCTCTGACTCACTGCATCTCTGGTGTGGCTCACTGAATGGGGCAAATCGTTTTGTGAAAAACTCGAATCGGCTACCAACTTTCCTTACATCTTCGGACCACTCAATTTCGCACATGATCGGTTATAATTTATAGCTGTTTTCTTTTCTGGTTCAGAATATCGTTTAGTAGTACTGAAGAAACCTATCGAAATGCATTGTTTTTATATTCACGTTTACCATCAGCTGTTTATAGTGAACAGAACATTAAGGTTATTGAAAATAATGCAGCCAGGACGCGATTTCAAATAATATAGTGATAATGGAACTGGCAGGGATGAGATACTAATTCTCGCAGTCTCGGTTTTGGCAAGACTTTTCTCATATTTCAACAAAGTTTCCTTCAATCCAGCTTTCACAATGATGATCCTCTATGTTTCACCTATGAAAAAAGTATTTTTTTATTTACGTAGATACAGTTTCATAAGAATTCCATAAGTCATGCTTGTTCTCACAGATACTTTTACAATATTTAAATTCTACCGAAAAATTGCTTTCCAAACTTGATTTGTGGAGATAATATTTCAGTTTTGTACCAACTTCAGTTGTTTTTAGAACCGGTTGCGCCCAGTTAGCAAAGGATTTTTCCATAGATTGTAGTGGCCTGTAGCGTTTCTTACGTGAATTTTTCAGATACGCTGCTAGTCATTGGTCGATGTCACTCACGGCTAGCATCTCACGGACTAAAGTTCATTTCCAAAAAAAGAAGCATCCTTTTGTATTTATAAGCTAACTGATTCAGATTTGGCTCTTTTCAAGAAGTTGTTGTCTTGATAACAGAAGGATTTGTTATAGAAACTTCCATACAAAAGCTTCTGTTCTGAACTATTGCTTTTCTCTTGAATTTCAGTGTCCTTGTCGAAAATCAGCATGATATTTCAGTTCTTCATTAACGAAAACTTAGGGGATCTCGTGTAAAACTCTATTAGATCTTATAAAAATCTTCTTTGAAGTGAGTGGCACCGAAGAACGACTAGCCACTCAAGTGCTCAAAGTTACTTTCACTAAAGATCATTTTTCTCTATCCACAATCAAGATAAATCGCCGTTTAGCTTCTTGCATCAAATTATTGAATTATCAATAATAAGCTACTTCTTTGAAAATTGAACATAGTAGAACTATTGAGCTACTATCTATTTATGGATAGAGAACCTGAGGGGCCATCTCTGATATACCAATGCGGATAGCGATGTTTGATTCAAACTTACTGATCACTGACCTCATTGATGGTAGGTTTAATTCATCGGTAAATCAAGATGTATCTCTCTCATTAGTGCATTCCAGTTACTCAATTGCGTTTTTTAATAGCTTCTTCAACATAACGATTCTCTTTTGGCCTCTCTCCATGTCTATTCCCACGGTTCGTGGGTTGCCATCATTCTTAGTGAGCACTGAATAGACTTCATCAATCGCTCAAGATGCGCCTCTCCTATTGGTTCATTCCAGGTGATCAATCATGTTTTGACAAGGGGGTTCCTCAAAAAATTGGTCAATTATGAATGTCTCGCTGTTTGAACTCGCGGTTTTGATTTATTTTAGTGAGTAATTCGTAGAAGTGATGAATTGCTCGAAATGACTGTCTTTTGTTAGTGTATTCCATGTGATCAATGACATTTTCTCTCACTTCTCTGTATCGAATCCAGCAAAGACGAGTCTGACGGTATCAACTCGCTGAATTCGACTGTTCGAATCAATTTCATTCAGTAGCTGAAAGCATTAGTCCATCAATGAAAATGCTGCTCTG